ATACTGACCTCAAGGTTTAGATCTTTCAGCCAGACATCACCGAGAGCCAAACAGATCCTAATTGACTGTATCTTTTCATAGCCTGCAGAGAGCAGGAAACCATTTGAACTGAGGGTACCCTATTAAAATTACCACCACTCCACCACTCTAGTGGTCACTTCAGAGAAATGACTCAGGGAAACATACTTCACATGACACAGTCTCTAAAACATATGGCAAAAGAAGCACTTTTAAATATTAACCACCAGACAGCAGTAGAGGTTCACAAACCCTCATAACCTATTTTAGCCTATTGTCTGATTATACAATAATATTTACGAAGGAACCAACTCATTGGTTTTAACTCAAACTGTATGTATACTTTTAATATTATTGGTACCATTGTTTTAGACCATCTTCCTCATCCCTCATCAACATCCACACTTACATACCTGCACAGAAACTTATTTAAATACATCCACAGTCCATTCATGTTTGCACCACACGAATCTACATACGCAAAATTCAGTAATTTTAAATGTCAGTGGGCTGCAGTTCAGATTAAATAGTCCAGTTTTCCTTAAGATGATGTTGACATTTGTGTCTGCCTTAGCAGAGGTGTTTTCATAATGACACTGATTTCACACCAAAGTCAGCTGCACCAACTGGTCTTCCTCTGAAGGCTGTGAATGACATATTTCAGTAAAATGGTGATGCATCTCACAAAAGGGTTTGCTTCACACCACTGCAGCTCATGTGTTCATTATTTCTAGCTAAATTGCTGAATAAATCTGCAATGTGGCTTTCGATTCTGGAAAACTGAAAACGGGCTACATTTTCAGCTATTGCTTATATGTGATGAATAATATGGGTGAGCAAAAACTGCGAGAGCAGGTAAAAGTGGAAAAATAGGGGTTTTATTCACCCAAAGTATTTACTTTGATTATGACTGAATATTGCATGTAGATGTGTTCAGGCCAGGACTCCTACCAATAATGTGCAGTTTGGGATTTGACCATGTACGCTCAAGTTCTCGTTGGATAGCTATATCAAAACTTAATTCGATATAACAACTAAATGCATAATGGCCGACTTCCTGTTGGGTTGAGGGTATCGCTACAAGAGGCTTTCTGTCTGTCTGGACAGGATATACATGCCTACTGATTATATTGATACATATTGGTGAAACATGCCGTAGTGGCTGCTCTTTACGGGGCCTAGCCATTTTGCCACACCCATGCCCAAGACCCATATAAGATGTAGATTTCCGCCACTTCTGACATGTCTGCCGCATTTCATGAGTTTTCGAGCACCTTTAGACCCTTCAAATGTGCTTCATTTTGACTGATAATGATAACCAAAGAAATTACAATAGGGCCTTCTTACTTAAGTGTGCTTGGGCCATAACAGGAAGTACACATCATTTTCCAAAGAAAGAACATTATTAGGCAATAGTTAATGTTCATTCATACGAAAACCCACAACCTTCTTGCAAAACCACATATTTTTTTTAGACGTCTCCCTTTAAAGAATGAAGACAGCCCTCAAGGGGTTATTTCTTTCATCTGCAGCCAGCAAGACAGAGCGTAACTCAACATGCAATGCCATTTTAATGGGACTCTGCTGATCAGTGTGCTCCCTCCACTGCTGGTCACAGAGTTTGTTTTGGGAATCCTTGGAAATGGTTTTGCTCTCTGGATCTTCTGGTTCCACCTGAGGCCCTGGAAGAGCAGCACGGTGTTACTCTTCAACCTGGCAATGGCTGATTTTCTGCTCAGCATGGCTTTGCCTTTCCGTGCTAGCTACTACATCTCTGACATCAAGTTGGTTGGAGGCGCTCTCTGCAACATCTGCCTCTTCATTTTTGCGTTGAACCGCAGTGGAAGTACCATCTTCTTGATGGCTATAGCTCTGGACAGGTACATGCGTGTGGTGCATCCCCATCATCCCATCAACTCTTTGAGTGTCTCCAAAGCCATGTGTGGGGCTCTTG